GGAGATTTATAGTTTCGCTTATGGGATATTTACAGAACTTTTCTTCCTGTTGACTCACAACTGGGGAATTTTGTTCCGTGTAAGGGAAATTTTAGTAAAGTCACCTGGATATATAGAGTTCAGCACAAATAGTAGGATAGAACACTTTAAAAAACAATTTCTTATGTTTAGCAATTGTTGCTCTCCCTCTACCCTTTCAAGGCATCACGGGCTTAAAGAGAATATTTGTATGTGTATTGGTTTTTGAAATTGCGTTCATGCGCCGAGTGGTGCATTGAGGCGCGCCAAAACATGCTTCATGAGATTTGCCCAATTTATTTAAAACAGCTATGAGTACGTTTGTTAGTTATAACACTTTCAGACCTCCTAATATAATTAGTTCTCATTATATGAATTTTCAACGTCACTAACTTGTAATACTTCTCCACTTCTTCGTATTTGCCCTGATTCTGACACAGCAAGGCCAGGTTATTGAGTTGTTTGGCAACATCAGGATTATCGTGCCCAAGCACCTTGAATATATATGTGTTGAAGAAGAAAACGTAAAAGCGCATTTACTTATTGACTCACCTTCTCCCTGATTTCCAAAGCACGTTTGCAAAGTGGCTCCGCATCCTTGAACTTTCCACGTTTGCCATAAAGAACTGCCAAATTGTTCAGCGTAGCAGCCACCTTAAATTGGACTTTAATTTGGGGAAAAACCATGTTGCAAGTATGAACTTACAGCAGAGTGGTTCTCTCCCAAACACTTTTCCCTGATGGCTAGTGCTTCATTAAGAAGATTAGCAGCTTCCTTATACTTATTTTGGTCTCTGCAAAAAAATGCTTCAACATCAAAATGAAGAAAAACCTCGAAATTTTCTGTTTGATACTGACCTGTACACCAAAGCAAGTATGTTTAGCATCGTAGCCACATCAGGATGGTCATGACCGCTAGTTTTCTCTAAATCCTCAAGAGCTTGTTTGCAGAGGGGTACCGCTACTTCATAACGACCTTGCGAAGCGTATTGAATCACCTGCAAAGTGAAATTAAGACACTGCAAACCAATAACAAAAGGTCAAGAGGATAACTTTGTAGTACGTTATTGATAAGTTTGGAAAATGAAAGTAACGCAAAATTTGAACTCGTGCATATTGGATATGAAAAAGAAGGTGCAGTACTTTGCACAAGTTAACAACCACA